CGGCACGTTGTGGCACCCCCGGCTTCATGGCGCCAGAGGTGGTCGAGTGTCACTACACCGAGCTCTGCGACGTCTGGAGTGCCGGGGTTGTGTTCTACCAGGTTGTGACAGGAGAGCGACTTTGGAGGCAGGCTGACGCAGAGGCGCACTACGAGCAGCTTCTGGCCGAGACCCCCCTGAAACTGGAGAGCACCGCTGCTTGGAGCAACCACGCCCAAGGCGCGCTCGACCTGTGCCAAGAGCTACTTCGCTTGGAGTCGCAAGGGCGGCCCACAGCATCAGCCGCCATGGGGAACCCCTGGCTGCAGAAGCATGCGAATTTTGCCGAACAAGGGTGCTGCGCGATCAGCTAAGCTCCTCCCTTGAGCAGGCAGAGGGCCCGGAGGGCCCGATGTGTGGGTGGTGATTCTCGTTGGATCCCAGGTATTTCGGCGTTACTTGGAGGTTCATGGGTGGTTTCTAAGGTAGAGTCAGAAGTATGGTGACTGGTAGCTATACTCCTGGCGCTATACAGGGTGCTTCTACCCCTACTTAGAACTACGCATGAACCTCCACACAGAAACCAGTGAGCCCACTACCATTCATCAAGAAACACAACATGGATCCCTAAACCCGAAACACTAAAACTGTATGCTCATGTATACTCCTCAATTGAGGGTAGTGGGCTCTCTTGGTAGTGGGCCGAAAATATTTCTCGCGCACTGCACTTGCCGTGGATGGAGGAAATCATGCTCTCAACACTGTCTTGAACGAAGTACTGTGCCTTCAGGACTTGGTTTAACTCAATGACCTATAGGGTTTAGGGTTTAGGGTTTAGGGTTTGCACCGTCAAGATGACACTAGCCAGTGTAACAAGATGGGGTGATGGTCACTTTTTTTTGTGTGGGGGGGGGTGGGGTTGGAATGTAGGGCTAGCTGAACTTGAGAATTACATCCGGTAGGTGGTGCAAGAGTACCTCCTGCCACCAATTTTTGATGTCGCTTGGATACGCCTTGCGTGCTACGCCTGCATCTGACATGTCTAGCGATGCCCCCCAGCGAGCCGATTGATGCGGCTTGCATGGAATGTGGGCTTGAAATTTTGCTGATCGCGAGCGCACAGCACTGAACGGTGTACAAGCAGGTCTCACCTTCAGGGGCACCCCCCCCCCACCCCCTCCCCCCCTAACCATGCTAGGAAGTTGTGGCACGTGTTTGTCTCCAATTTTAGGCCCCTTACCCTCTGCCCTGCAACTGTGGGGGGGGGGGGGGGGGGGGGGGGGGAACCCTAAACCCGAAACCCCAAACCCCAAACCCTAGACCCCCTAGCCTAAAGGAAAGCATTCCATTCGTTCACTGCCTGTTAGGTTTGCGCGACCTCGAGGCTCCAAAGAAAGCCCCAATACCCCTTACATTATGCGTTGCGTAGTTTAGGGTTTAGGGTTTAGGTTTAGGTTTAGGGTTTAGGGTTTAGGATTTGGGTTTAGGGTTTAGGGTTTAGGGTTTAGGGTGTAGGGTGTAGGGTGTAGGGTGTAGGGTGTAGGGTTTTGGGTTTTGGGTTTTGGGTTTTGGGTTTTGGTTTTAAGGTTTAGGGGTTACAGCTTCTAGGGCGTTATAGGGTTTTGTGTTTGCCGGGTTTATAGGGTTTATAGGTTTTATAGGTTTTATAGGGGTTTATAGGGTTTATAAGGTTTATAGGGTCTTGTTTTAGGGTTTTGGGATTCGAAGGGGGTTTTCTGGATTCATGAACAGCTTAAAGGCATCTTTCTTGGTTGAGGGCTTTCTAAGCTTTCTACGCTTATAAAAATTCAGGGCCTTGGGCAAATCCGCCAATTTCTCCTGGAAGAGCTCTCTGGGCCGCGATGCTTGGAGGTTAAGGGTTTAGGGTTTAGGGCTTAGGGTTTAGGGTTCAGGGTTTAGGGGTACTTACTAACCAATAATAACTGTACTTATAACTGTACTTATAAGCCCCTTAAGTGCCCTAATATGGTTAGAAGTACAGTTATAAGTACAATAATTGGTTAGTAAGTACCCTGAACCTCCAAGTAGAGCTGCTGGCTGACATTGGCACTCGATCAGAGAGTCGACCATGCATCTGTTTGGGGGTTTCCGAAAATGGGGGCACCCTTTTCGGGGGTTCCTATAAAGAGAATTATGGTAGTTTGGGGTATGTTCGGGGAACTGCCCATTTGAGATCGGAGATTTCAAGATTTCGATCGTGAAAGATGGACAACATCTCTTGCTGGCGGCGAAATTAGGCAGACGGGTTCCAGGACCTGAACCGATTTAGGGGTTGCACGCGTCGTTCGCAGGACGCAAGTGGTCGAAGGCATGACGGCTTGCCAACTTTTGCCGCGAGTCCCTGAAAGTGCGTGAGCCGGCACTGCACCTGCAGTATTTAGGTTCGTGGTTTGGGGTATCGTCTAAGGTTTGTTACATAGTGCCGTCATATACCCTAAACCCTAACCCTAGCCCTAAACCCTAAACCCTAAACCCTAAACCCTAAACCCTAAACCCTAAACCCTAAACCCTAAACCCTAAACCCTAAACCCTAAACCCTAAACCCTAAACCTAAAACCCTAACCCTAAACCCTAAACCCTAACCCCCTAAACCCTAAACCCTAAACCCTTAACCCTAAACCCTAAACCCTAAACCCTAAACCCTAAACCCTAACCCTAAACCCTAAACCCTAAACCCTAAACCCTAAACCCTAAACCCTAAACCCTAAACCCTAGACCCTAAACCCTAAACCCTAAACCCTAGCATGGCCCCTGACCTCCTTGCAAAGTGTTGTGAAGCATGGGCCCTGTGGGTGGCACAGGGTATATAAGTGTAATACAAGGAACCCCCAACTTAGGGGCCCATACTAACGTGGAGCCATGTAGCGCATAGCCCACTATAAGGGCTGGGCCCATCCACATGTTTTGTGTTGGTTGAGTTCGGCGGTTTAGGGTTTAGGGTTTAGGGTTTAGGGTTTAGGGTTTAGGGTTTAGGGTTTAGGGTTTAGGGTTGCCCTATCTGCGCGGGTCAGGGGCACACACACCCCACGCACTCGACGGCTCGATTTTAATAGGTCCCAGAGTCGGTGTTGAGCAGGGAATGGTTTAGACGTTGGTCATGGGTTCCCCTACTACCACCCTCTATACTACCTTGCCCAGGTTAAGGTCCCTGAACCCTAAACCCTAAACCCTAAACATAGGTTTATTTAAGGGGGGAACCTAAGGGGGGGGGGTTAGTATAGAGGGGGGTAGTCGGGGAATCCATGAGTTGGTCTCATCTACAAAGAGGGGCCCCCATACTGTACTAACTGTACCTGGGGGGAGCCTTGCAGGAACCTAAAGTTATGGTACTTCAAACGGAGTTTTCATTCGCACCACTCTACTTGTGAGGAGAGGGGGGCCCCTATTTATAATTGTACCTATCAGGCTTGGAGAGCAAGCGGATGACCTTGGCCCCGAAAGGCCGCACATGGCATGTCTAACAGGGCTTGGCCTGCAAGAGGTCCCGAATCCAAACCTTCAGGAAGGCCCTTGGGATATCTTACATTTCCCTTGCTGGTTTTTTTTTGCTTAGTATGTAGTATGTCCCTGAGGATCCATGTACCTACATAGTATATACTTGGGCCTTAAAGGAGTTCCTATATAGTAGCTTTAGGGCCCAAGTATATACTGTATGGGTACATGGATCCTTTGGGTGTGTGAGACATCGGTCGACCCTAATGGTCTGCTTGGCGTCATTACGTGTCAAAGTACCTCAGGAAGTCTCGTAGTAAATCAGCCAAGACCATGCTGAAAGCTTGCGAAGATTGCGGCTTTCAGCGCTCAGACCGCATACTCCTTAATTAAGGGGTTCAGGGTTTGGGGTTTAGGAATATACCTTAACTCATATAAAGGGCCCCCTACACGGTTGTCAATTTTTTTTAAGCTACATTCCTCAGTTAAGGGGTCTTGACAATTGGGCTTTCTGGGCTTGTAAGGGGCTTTGGGCTCGTCCGCCGGGCAGCTCTCTGGAAGGGCTCTCTGGGCCAAGATAGAGTCGCAGGCTGACACCGTCACTCGATCCTCGACCATGCATCTATTTGGGGGTTTCCGAACATAGGGGCACCCTTTTTTGGGGGTTCCTATAAAGAGAATTATGATATTTTGGGGTACTACCCAGTTGAGATCGGAGATTTCAAGATTTCGGTCGTGATGGACAACATCTCTTGCTGGCGGCAAAGTTAGCAAATGTGTTTCGGGACTTGCAACTATTGTGTATATAGTCTGTACGCGTGGTACGCAAACAAAACCTTAAGACAAGTACACATGTGTTTTCGCTGAGAACCCATGGCTTATCGAAGGCATTGTCGCTGCCAACTTTTACAGCGAGTCCCTGGAAGTGCTGTGGGCCGGCACTGCATCTGCAGTATAGGTTCAAGTTTTACAGTATAGGGCATAGCCCATCATGAGGGTTTTTGGGTTGAGTTCGGGTTGCCCCAAGGGGTTTCTGTGCGGGTCCGTGCCACACCCCACGCACTCAACGACTCGAAGGTTTGTGGTGCAAGCTGCTATGCCAGGTCCGCATCGGCACGAAGTGTCGCTTCGGGCCAGGAGCATGTCAAGAGCGCCGTTTGCAAGTTGCTTTGTCAACAGCATCTGACGGGCCTGTGATGCTTGATGCCGCAGCTTGACGCCTGGCCGAAAAAAAGGCCCGCAGCATTTCTGACCTGGCTTGAGGGCTTCTACATTTTGCTCAAGCCCATGTCCTCCGAACGCTAGTGAGGTCCATGATATCGCATTGATTTCTTCGGCAGTTATTGGTTGAAGCTTGTTTTGGCCTATGGCTTGGATTTGGAGGGTTGGGCGTTGTTTTTTTTCATAAATGGCTTACCTAAGACTTTGGTTTCGAGTTTTTTGGGAGCTTAGATGCCTAAACCCTTCTAATGACGCCTCCCAAACCCACACCCCCCAAAGCCCAATTTGCCCACCTAGCCCCATAAGCCCCCCTAAACCGCCCCCAATCCCCTCCTAAGCCCCACGAAGCCGACCGAAACCCTCAAAACCCTGCTACTGCACTACTGCCAGGGGTATTGTGCTCTTAGGGCGTGCTCTACCTGCGAGGTCATGGCTCAAAGGGAAGGAACAAGTCTAAGTCTAGAGTCTAGAACTTGAGACGCTGCGAGCCAGGATCTTTCAACGAACGCACTGCCCAGCCTTGATCTATCTCAAAGCACCCTCTAGACTCTCGACCCCCCATAACCCTGTACCGAAATGATCAACGCTTGAGCCTGAAATCTGGAAGCCCTCAAACATCCTAAATCCTATTAACCTATGAGCCCTAAACCCTACAGCTTTTCTCTGAGAACATCCCTGCAATGCAGGCTCGTCCTTGCTAGGAGGCCAAGAAGAACCCCACAGTGTCCTAGGCCCTAAGCCCTCAACCCTGAACCTGAAGTACCTTTGTAAACCCTACAAACCCTGTAAGCCGGAACCCAAAACCCTAAACCCTAAACCCTAAACCCTAGTCTCCAAACGGCAAGCTCGTGCCGGGCCGACTGTTGCGGCGATGGCCCGCTTCGCAGAACTTCGGGCCCGGTGCGCAGGGGTTAGGCAGTTTAGGGTTTAGGGTTTAGGGTTTAGGGTTTAGGGTTTAGGGTTTAGGGTTTAGGGTTGAGGCTTTGGGGGGTTGGGTGGCCGGGGGGGGGGGGGGGGGTCTTGCAAGCAGGGCTTGGGGTTTAGGATTTAGGGTTTACGTTTAAAGGAAAAAGGGTTGGAAGCCCTTTTGACGTACTAAGTAGGGTTAGTCAGTTGGGTTATGGGGATTATGAAGGAGTTTCTATAGGGGATACTGAGTAGACCTAGGTCAAAGGGCTCCCAAGTAGGCTCTATAGAGTTTAGGGCGGCTTCCAGAGGGTAAGGATGTAGGGTTTTGGGGGCTTTTGATTGCGTTTTTAGGTCAAGACTGGAGTCGCCACACGTATTTGTCTTGACATACCTTCGCTTTCTGGCTACGATTAGGGTTTAGGGTTTAGGGTTTAGGGTTTCGGGTTTAGGGTTTCGGGTTCAGGGTTTAGGGTTTAGGGTTTAGGGTCAACATCCAAGCCGCGGTCAAGACAAAGGGAACTATAGGGGTCAATATCTAACCAGTGTCACGAAGAGCCTCGAAACAATCCTTTGTCAGGAAGGTGAGTCAAGGCCGTCATAGCCCTTTTAACGCAAAGTTGTGGAGTGAGCCGTCGTACTAATCTGACCACTTTGTGCTTTTTCGCATGTTTGCATGCAGTCGGCCAGTCAAGGCCACGGAAATCGTTTTCAAGCTGAGAAGGCTACATACGTCAAGAACTTTTGTCGCCAGCCTTCAGGCGTTCTGCTGACGTTGCGTTGCGTAGCTGTCTTTGAGAAGGGCGCCCATGGAGAGATTCGTCCGTCGCGGCCGGGATGGACGGATCTTGGGCGTGGACGAGTTCCAGGTGGCGAAACTTGGAAGCCCAGGGTGGTACCCTTTATCCTTTATGTTAGTTCTGGGTTCCCTTATTAAGGGGTGCCCTTACTCTAATATGGCGGGCTACCAAGGAAAGCCCTGCTGGCCGGAGAGGCGGAGATCTTGAGCCAAGAAGTCGACGGCCAGCACCTCTTCGACTTGTGCTGTCACTTCGGCTGCCAGAGCACGGCTGCCGCCATGCTTACGCACGGTGTGTCTGGGTGCGTGTTCAGGGGCAGCTCTCGGCCTCTCGCTGCTCCTGATGTGGCAAAGAAGGCGCCTCCAAGGCTTCCACCATCGGTGCTTCCGTCTACTCCTGCTCCTCCTGCTTTTGCTGTGGCAAAGTGGGCGCCCCCAATGTTGCCTTTCACTCCCACTGCTCCGCCGCCCAGAAAAGCCCCGCCGCCAGCTTGTCGCTGTCTTTGTTGGACCACGTGTGCAAGCTGCAGCTGGGGCTTCTCGGAGGATGGCGGTGTTTGGATGTGGGATTGGGATGCAAGCCTCCTGGCTGCCAAGGAGGCTGCTGAAAGCACGGCTGCGCTGCCCGTCGATGGCGCTTTGCTCGACGCCTTCCGCTCCCAGCCAGGCAGCCCCGCACTCGCCACGGGGGAAGGTTTGGCCTACCTCCTCGACCTAGCCATCCTCCTAGGGGGTGCCGAGCTGGCCAGACGCTGTGCCAGGCACTGCAAGTTCTTCCCGCTCAGGCGATGGAGGGCCCGAGACTTCGTCAAACTCACATATAGTCCCGTAGGCCCGCACGTCAGTATACAGGAGCTGGATGTCCTGATGGCAGCTTTGGCGGCCGGCGTTTCGATTCAGCATTTGGTGGTGCGTGATTTTGGATCGGTCTCGATTGGGGAAGCCATCGCGCTTTCCGGAGACGCATTGCTCTGGCGCCGAGTCCAAGGCCTTGAACTGCGGCTCGGGCCCGGGCCAAAGCATGAAGACGGAAACAACATGGTCGAGCTTGTGAGGGCCTTGCAGGGGGATCCTGAAAATTCCGGGAGTTTTAACACTTTTTGTCTAAAAATCCTGGGAATTTTGGGAATCACCCGGAGCTG